GGGGGGGGGGGGGGGGGATAATCCTATATATGGATGGGCTAGATAGGTAAGTACCGCCTGATAGGGTATGGTTTTTGAGGATCTCGAGCCTTTAATACGGTATTATTTTTTACGTTGTTGGCCTTGTGTCTTTGGTTTGATCCTTAGATAGGGTAACTCAAGTAGTAATGGATGGTTTATTCCATCCTTTCCATTTTGTGGAAAAACAGTAATCCAGAACACGCTCGGAAGAATTGCAAGGTCTTACGAATTGTTTATAGTCAGGGAAGGATAATTTTCTACTATCCCCATGGTATTTGTTTTAGAGGACTCCTTATAGAAAACAATTGTTTTAATATGGAATGAGTACTCCTTTTGTTCCTATATGGGACCAAATCAAGTGAGAATAATGGACCAAATGGCCAGCCGGCTTAGTGTAAGACCCCAAGTGAGTGTTATAAAACAAGTACATACGAAGGTATTGGCCAGCGACTAACTAGATTTTGTGTTTAGGTTTCTGTTGTGGTTCGACGGTTTGCGACTGGTGAAGTGCTTTTTTTATTATTTGCACTAAACATTTTGAATCTTTCCAGGCCTCGTTTGATTTAGTTGGCCAAAATATGCATATGGAAGCCACTATTACTTCTTTAATATTGCGCGTCAGACAAGGACGGTGCACCACGTGTTTTGTCGACCTGTTATAAGATCTAACAAGGAAAGCTTGAACTCTCCTGGTGTCCTTATTCGAATGATGTAGGATGGATGTTACGATTTGCGGAAATTAAATGCTTCTTAATGATGGCTCGTTTGTGTCTAGTTTGTCTAGCTCTGTCTAGATCCTGTACTCTGGCAAAGCTCTGTCCAGAGGCGCATCCCCGTATTGGCCATATAAGGAAGTACACCCGCCGGGTAACCATTGAATGCAAGCCACCTAGTACAATAGCGAGGTTTAAGAATACAGCATTTCGTAAATCAGATAACTAATCAACATTAATCTGAAAAAAATGTTTGGGACTGTGAATAAAGTTAAATGTTCGAATGAGCGGAGTTGTTACGTGCTACTAGCAGACGTCATCAAGAAACAAATACTTCATGGTACGTATAAAACCGCAATATAATTACAACTGCTTCATTCAAATTAATGAGAGTTTTTCAATAATGTTTCACGCTACCTTAATTTACAAATTGCGACAGCTTAGTTTATTACAAAGTGCGATGGACAGTTGTTACAAATTGCGACAGCTTTTTTATTACAAAGTGCGACCCGGTTTATTACAAATTGCGACAGGTATTACAAAGTGCGATGATTATTACAAATTGCGACAGTACATCAGGGAGGTCATGTTTTGAAATTAATCCACGAAGAAGCTAAAAACAAAGCACTCGAAATAAAATCCATCCTTCAAACGCAAAGAGAAGGATTAGATGCGAAACTGAACGTAATTGCTCAACTAGACGAGGACTGTGCTAAGCTGATTCAACAAAGTGAAATCACCAGGAGAGATGTCCAAAGGTTTGCTGATGGCTTGATCAAAACAATTCAAGCAAAAATGAAAAATATTATTACCGCTGTGGAATACCAAACGAAGAAGTCACTCGAAAGTTTAAAAGCAAAAAGAAGTGCGATTCAGCGACAGACAAATGCAACCGAATCATCACTGAAGGAAGCTGATAAACTTTTAAAACAAAATACCACCACGGAAGTTTTTCATCTTAAAAATCGTTACAGACAATCTTTCATGGATTTAATGAAACCTAGCTTATTGTTCATGACCCCAGTGGTCTAAAAACGTTTGGTTTCGTGAAAAATCAGAAGATGCTTGATGTCGTCAACGGCGAAGAACTTGGTTTCTTGGAAGAAGGTAATCGAACAAAACCAAGCGAATCTCTGGCTGAAGGTGATGGACTGAAAGAAGGAATTGTAGCACGTAAAGCTCAATTCAATTTGATCACAAGAAACGCGGAGAGAAAACAGTGCCATGATGAGAGGGACTGTGTCACGATAGAGATCAAGGACGAACAAGGACAAGAATGCGTGACCCAAGTGAAAATAGATGATAACAAAAATGGAATCTACAAAATCACTTATTATCCCAGAGCTCATGGGACGTTCAAATTATTAGTTAAAGTAAACGGGAAACATATTTCTTGTAGTCCTTTTACTGTGATTTTTAAACCATTTCAAGTCAAACCTGTTTTATCTTTGGGAAAGGAAGGCTCGGGTGAAGGAATGTTTAAGGCTGCTCTGGGGGTGGCAGTGAGTGATGCGGGCGAAATAGTAGTAGCTGATCAGTTAAACCATCGTGGTCAAGTGTTTGACAGTAATGGTACTTTCTTAAGATCCTTTGGTCACAAAGGTGAAAATGCTGGAGAATTCAAATTCCCTGTTGGAGTAGCCATTAATAAGGACAGGAATATTTTTGTAGCAGACAGTGAAAACCACAGAATACAGATTGTTAGTTGGGAGGGGAGGCACCTGGGTTCATTTGGCGGCAAAGGAAGCCTTGATATTCAGCTCTCTGACCCTTGGGGTTTATCCTTAGATAGTAATGGTAATGTTATTGTTGCTGATACAGGTAACAAACTGATTAAGATCTTTACCCCGGATGGTAGGTTTGTAATGAAGATAGGTGGGCAGGGTTTTCTTAGTTTCCCTGCTCACTGTGTTCAGTGTGATAAATATTTTATAGTGTCAGACTCAAATGAACATTGTATCAAAGTATTTAACAGGGAGGGGCATTTTCAGTACAAGTTTGGTCAGCAGGGGGTAGGGGACGGGGAGTTTAATTATCCATTTTTTCTGTCAGTGACTCAGTCAAAGCACCTGTTGGTTTGTGATCCAAATAATCATAGAATACAAGTCTTTGAACTAGATGGGAAGTTTGTCGGAAAATTCGGTGCAAATGGCAGCAAATAAGGAGAATTCAATCAGCCACTCTCAGTAGCTGTTCTAAGTAATGATCAAATTGTTGTGTGCGACAAAGCCAATCATCGAATTCAGATATTTCAATAAAAATTGTCCTTTTTTTCCTGAGAAAACTACATAATAAGCAAATCCCTGTTTGATTAATAAATGTATTTGTCAGCTGTACAGCAGCGCTATAATGTTATTGTAGGCAAGTTTAGCCGCATTTAGTCCAACGTGAAACCTTGTGGTCTTAAATCAAGTTATGTACATAACGTATTTGTTGAAGGATTGAGTTAACTTGAACATTCTTTTAATAAAGTTCTGTATTCGAGAAACGATTTCTTTTTGCGTTCTAGGTTCGAGAACTCAACCCCTTATTTGTGATGGTTGTTCTGTACATTATTGGGTGTCCTGTGTAATTAATAAGGGAGGGTTTTTCGAGAATGCATTTGTCGTCGACACACATTTGCCTCGCTTTGAGGCGCTTGGTAACGTTTTGCCTCACTTTGACGAACTAACTCACATAGTGATTCATGTGTCCTCGGCGCAGTTCATCTTTGCTTTTGTCTCCGTAAAGCGTACATCGATCTGTGCTTGTCAGGGGTTTGTTGAATCTTCCAAAGTTTTCAACACCCGCAGTAAAATTTTACTTTGGATTAAGCCTTCTTATTATATAGACACGAGTGTTTTACTGGAAAATATACCACTCGTAAAATTGATAAAAACTACATCCGGGACCTGAGTGGTTTATTTTCCATAATCTCACACGTGAGTTTATCTATGATGTAACTTTAGTAATTTCCCTGTATTATTTTATCGATGTCATTTTGTCTATATAATAAAAAGAACATTACACGGCGGCTTGAAGATATGAATTTTATTTTCGAGTGGCAAAACAATATTTACGAACGAGCGCAGCGAGTGAGTAAAATATTGTTTTTGCCACTCGAAAATAAAATTCATATCTTCGCGCCACTGTGTAATATCCTCTATATATGTTCAGCATGGTTTGTCACTGTCTTTGGAAAATGTGTGCGACTCCTGGTGCATGCATCAATGAAACCGGGTTTTTTAGTTCGGCTGCCGTTGTGCCACAAAGTATCTCTTCCGAGATGTGAAGCTCGTCGGCGCCTTTTCTTCCTGACTTGTGATATTTTCGGCACCGGACAAACAAACATTTTAGCTCTATGTTATTTATTCGGAAAAACTTATAAACCAGCCCACAGTAGCGCTCCTCAAGTTACTGAAATCAACAAACTCGACCAAATTATTGAAAAAGTTATTGACGTGAGCACACACATTCCACTGAAGAGGGTCTCAATGGGGTTAACCGATAGGCGTAAAACGGCCGAAAATTTAGTCGATAGCCGTAAAAGTTGAAAAATTTAACCGTTAGCCGTAAATAGGGTAAAAAAAGAGTTAACCGTAAAAGAAACTGTTCCCTAGATCTGCTACTTTTAAGGGAGGTATTAAACTCACTTATGGTTGCGGTTTTTGTTTCCCGGCTAGTGTGAATCCGTACGCACGTTAGGCGAAGCGCCTTTTAGGTGTTGACCAAGACCTAGTCTCCATTTCTGCGACTCTCTCGGGGAACTAATTTTTTCCATACTTGAGCGAAAGTGTGGCTTCCTGCTGGGGATCAATATTTGCGATTTTCAGGAGGTCGTGCCCTCGAAACACTAGTGAAACAACACGCAGAGATGTCACTGTTGTAAAACACGTTGCCGATAAACAGCATTTCCCTGTTTTTCTCTGACGCTACAGTAGACATTGCCATGCCTAGTCCCTGTACGGCGTCTTCCCACGCAATCTCGGTCAAGGTATTTCGGTGGCGAACTCGCTAGGAAACGTTACCCGAAGCGCATTGGTCGCGCGGAATGATGAGGCCTACGGACAAGGCAACGGCAGACAGTCGTTCTGTACAGTCCTTCGCTATCATTAAAAACACTGGACACGAGAATTTTGTTACTGGCCGTTTTCACGCTAGAGCTAGAAATGGATTATCTGTCTGAGACTAGCCTGTGTATAGTCGCGCCCTCCCCACACACACCCCTTCTCCGATTTTTTCTGAGAGGAGGGGGCGGCTGTACACAGACTATCTGGAACGGATAGTCCCGTCTTCAAACTGTCCGTCGAAATTGACGGATAAAGTCAGGCGGATTGTCCATTCAAAATTAAAACTATTCCATTTTCAAAATCATCAAACGGATAACCCTTCTTACACGAATAATCCGTCTCTAGTGTGAAAACGGCCATTTCTGTTATAATGAATGTCGCGCCCCGGCCTTGAGTTGGGCGTTTGCGTGTCCGCTTTTGCTTTTTCACAAAGATTACTTTTAAATTGACTATTGACATGTCTATGTGTAAAATATGTAATATTAGAGGTGAAATACTTTATAAAAAGTATGATCTATCAAATGTTAAAATTTTTCAAAAGAATAGCTTGTTTCATCCTGAGATGATCCGAAGACCTTTTTTTTGATTTAAAGAATATTTTTTTTTTTTTTTTTTTTTAACAGTTTTTATTGAATTAAAGACAAGTTTTACAATTTTACTTAAGAATAAACATTAAATACAATTCTACTCAAAAAGGAAAAAGGATAACAACAACGAAAAATGTATGTATGTATTACAACAACGACGATATTAATAAAGATGCCTGCTAATTTTAACGAACCTATGGGTATCAACTACTACAAAGTGCATTAGTTAGCTTCTCCCACTTTTGAAAATGAAAAAGAAGTTTATTTTTTTCCCTGGCGATATGGAGCTCAATATTGAAGACACGTCTTGCCCTAGCAATAAAACCTCTAATTGAAGGTACGCTATTATGACATTTCCTACAGTAGATATAATATTTAGCTAATAACAAAATATGATTAATTAGAATATAGTCTTCTACAATATCAAATTTTCCAAATATCACATCAGACTCATTAATTGTCTCAACATGAACATAATTATCTCTTAGCCAGGACAAGACATGCTTCCAAAACTCAGAAGATATCCTGCAGGAGAAGAGTAAATGCTCGACGGATTCCGCTGCTTCTTGACAGAAAGTGCAGTTTGGCGATTCCACCACACCAATTAAATTAAGTTTCACGTTTGTAAAGATTATACAATTTAAAATTTTGTAATGAAATTCCCTGATCTTTGTGTCCAAAGTGCAATGAAAGGCCAAAGTGTAAGCCTTTTCCCAATCAATATCTATATTTGCGTAATTGTTTGACAATTTCTGTTTTGCGGTGGGCGCAATTTGCTTTTGCTGCAGAAAGATTTGATAGATCTGTTTAGGAGAGATATCAAGGATTGGCACTACATTACCACTTGGCAACTTAATAGTTGGGGTAATCGGTATGGGATTGGCTGATATGACGTTTGTAGATGCTTTAATAAGTGAGCGCCATTCTGCGGGAATCGAATTGATAATACTCATAAGAAAAAATCGTTGTTCAGGGTTTGTAAGTGAAGAGAAGTCGCACAAGAAGGAGTTGTGCGCAGAAATTAAATCCTTAATCTTCACGAAGCCTAAATTTACTATATCTCTTCTGTACATCGATTTTTTGTCATAACAAAGAAATTTGTTGTTCCAGATAATTTCGTTAATGATTTCCTCGTAACAACTTGGAGTCTTCCCATTAACCTCCGACCACGCATCGAAGCATTCCTTATAATATGCTGGTAGACTGATTTTCAATTTAGAAGTTTGAAAGTTGCAATGCAATACAAAACGTCCTCCGACTGGTAACAGAAGTTTGTCTAGGATTACTTTCCAAGGACTTGAGTAATCCTCCAATAATTTCTTTAAACATGTTATTCGTTTAGCGCAAATCATAGATTGAATGTCCAACATTTTGAGTCCACCCATTTCTATATCAGATATCAATGCAAGACGCTTCACTTTGTCCTTCCCATTCCAAATAAAGTTGTAGAGAACTGAGTTTGCCTCTTTAATTAGTTCTTTAGAGACTGGTATAACCGATGCTCTGAACATAAGCTTTGGGATTGCGAAAGTTTTGACTATCTGTATTCTCCCTAAAAGGGAGAGCCCTCTCCATTTCCATACGTTGATTGATTCCTTTATACTTTTTAAAGTTTGACTAAAGTTAAGGTTGTTCCTTTGTCTATCATCATAACCAAAATATATCCCCAAGATTTTTATGATCTCACAAATACTATGAGTTGGGAAGTCTTTCTCCTGTAGGATATTATCTCCTAGAGGCATGATTTCTGTTTTTTCATCATTCACCTTTAGGCCGGAACACTCTCCAAAAGAGTTGAGAATACGAAACAGATTTGTATAAGATGTTTTGTCTTTTAAGATACAGGTCATATCATCTGCAAATAGAGACAGTTTAATCATTTCTTCTCCAATTTTAAGCCCTTGTACATTGCAGTCCTCTCTTATTTTTATAGCTAAGGTCTCAAGCGCTAGGATGAAGAGGTAAGGGGAGAGTGGATCCCCCTGTCTGACACCTCTACCTAGTAGAAAAGGACCAGTCGTAAATCCATTGTTCATTACACAGCTGGATGCATTTTTATACAGAACACGCATCCACTGAATAAAAGATGGGCCAAAATTGAATTTGTGTAATGTTCTGATTAGAAATCGAAAGTCTAGTGTGTCGAAGGCTTTTTCAAAGTCAATTGCGATCATAAATCCCGACCAACTGTTCCGTTTGGTGTAATCCACAATATCATCAATCGTTCTAATTGCGTCAAATATGGACCTACCTTTAACAAATGCATTCTGACTGGGATGTATTAAATTTGGCAAGACCTTTTCCAGGCGCTTCGCTAAAACTTTAGAAATAATTTTCGCATCGACGTTAATTAGCGATATAGGCCGCCAATTTTTAATTACTCGTTTATCCTTTCCTTTTTTTTCAATTAATGTGATTATAGCCTGTTTTTGTGAGTTTGAAAGTTCTCCAAACTCATAAGAGTAGTTGATGCAATCTACTAGAGGTTTCCCAATCAAAGACCAAAAAGCCAAATAGAATTCTATT